TAAAATTTTCCCCCCCCCCCCCCGAGAGGCAAAGCAACACCACTGCCCAAAGTTACAAGGAGAATGTGCAACAAACAAAGTTCAACCAATGGCTTAAAGACTTGATGTTCTGCATGTGGAATTACAAAGACTTGAGGATCCTCTTCCATGATCATGGAAAGTAATATAACAACCAAAAAGAAGGGCCATGCTCAACACAACTGGATAGCGAAGTGTCATCTCTGCACCGGAATTACAAAGATGCTCCCACGTAGGCTGGTCCTGCTCCCTCCAGACATTTGGAAAAACCATCCAGAGCTATAGGTGGCAGGGTATCTAGCTTTGCCCTCTTTTCTCCTGGAGTGGAATAAAATGTTGAAACATCACCCAGGAGGAACAGACCTCTGTCCACAACTCCAGCAACTGGAAACTGGGAGTGGTAAGGACTCCCGTGCTCCACTATGGTGAAATAGGGGGAGAATTTGCATTGGGGAGTCCCAAGGAGTAATGCTCTGGAGACAGTGCAATAGGCGAACCTCATTCCTTATTTTGAAAAGCAAACTATCCCAATTTATTCAATCCAGGATTCAGCAGGGATGGGAAAAATCCCCTTATGCTTTACTCACGATAGTCCATGAGTAGCTGTCCAGTATTGTATGTTATATATGGTACTGAATACTTGTGTACCACCTAATAAGTACTAAGGTGGTCTTATGGAACACCCTATCTCAACAGAGCTTGTTGCTACCAGGAATTTTATCTATTAGTCTAATGGTAGCTAGTGCAGATTTGAAAAAAAAACATACCTGACCATGCAACACTCACTACTGAGTGGGATCCAAATTATAATGACAAGAAAGTCCCTGAAAAGGAATAGAATAACACAGAAGAAATGAAGACATCCACCTCTCCCACAGTCGAGCCGAGACATGTAGAATAGCCATGAGGAGGGGGGTGGGGATAGCCAAAACCCACTAAATCATGTAAACAGTGAGATATAAAGATGTTAAATGTAGTCCACATATCTAGTGTTGGCCCAATGACAGAGTTGCCAGAGGCGTTGAAATATGTCGAACTTGATGAGATGAGACCCGAGAAAGTCTCCGCTTTTCCAATGAAAGTCCAGAGTAAGCCATATCAATCAATTGACAAATTCAATCCATCAATGTGATAGGTGATAAGTCACTTGACACAGTAGGGTCCCAATGGGGATGTGAGACCCAAAATACTTCAATGCATGTCACATAACATTGGAGCCCAAATTGGGCATAAAAGATGATCCGGATCCAAGCAGTTGTATAAATGTGAAATGGAGGGAAGATGAACAGGAGAGAAAGCCTTATCTCCTTCTATGGCTGCTGAAGTTTTGGGTAGAAAAGATCTGTCTGGATACAACAGAACATAAGTGGAATGGTAAAGAGTCCCGTGAACATGAAGCACAAAGAAAGGGAGCTGAACATTCCAGCATGTGGTAAAAGCATTAATCTCAGGCATTCCGAGACATGTGTAGATCCAACGAAAAAATTGAGAATGAAGCATATATTCCATGGAAAGAGTTTTGTTGGGACAAGATAACTGGTCAGCCACTAAATTCATTACACCTCAAACATGACAAGCAAGGAGAATGATCTGATGTTTGTTTACCCAAAAGAGAAGATCCAATGTGCAAAAGAATAAAGATATGGAGTGAATGACCCTTTGCTTTGAAATGTACGAGATGACTGTGGAATTGTCTGAAGGAAGCCTTACCACCTTCCCTCACAACAATTCAAGAACTTGAGTCACAGCTCATCAAACTGCTAGAAGTTGTAATAGATTAATATGGGGAAATGTTTCCTCTTCTGTCCAAAGGCTGTTGAATTCCATATTCTCTATACAAGCACCACAACCCTGGAGAAAAGCATCTCTGAAAAGAGGTATCTCTGGATGAGGGTGCGGTAGAGGGACCTTACTGTTGTGTTGTCCCAGTCCAACCACCAGCCAAGATCTTGCAAATTGGCAGCTGACAGGACCACTGTATCTGTACATATGTTTTACTGGATCCTTGATGACTACTGGAGGGTACACAATGTGAGCCTGAACTAAAGGAATGAGTGATTCCAAGGATGCTCACATCTACATAAGAGATAAAACTGCACATGCTGTTGGAGAAGGAGTCAACTGTATTTGAAAAATTACCCTATTCATGGCCTGAATGTGTAAAGGAGAAGGTTAGTCTGGAATTGACCCCCCCCCCCCCTAAATGGACGAGGTACTGTGTGAATAGACTTCTCCTTTCTGATTAGAAACCCATTCCTCACAGCTTCTGATAACAGATTTTGGGTGTGAAGTTCTGCCAAGTGGCAGGAAGGGGTGAGAAGAAGTCAGTCATCGATGTAATAGTGAGTGTGAATGCCCAATGAATGAAGATGATAGGAAAAGGACTTGCATATCCAGCAAAAAACGTATGGGGCAGATGTGAAGCCAATTGGAAGAGCATGAAGCTGAAAAATATGGTTGTTGTTGTGCACGAAATAGAGATAACACCAGGAAGACTATGTAATTGGAATATGAAGGTAGGCATCAGTGACATCGAATTTTGTTATCCACAGACCAGGTGAAAGGAGCCACTGAAGAGAAAGAAACAACTCTGTTGTAAACCAAGAAGGCTGGAGGAAGCGACTGAGACAAGAAAGGAAGATGGCAGGTCACCAATCACCCATCTTTTTCAGTACTACAAACAGCCAGGAATAAAAACCCTCAAGAGGGGAGTTGACTTGCTCTATAGCTCAACAGCTAGATGTAAGAGGGTCCTTGGGGAGTGGAAAGCCAATCGGTATAAAAGACAATGGAAGAGGAGACGTGAACTGAATGACCAATCCTCTCTTGAGAAGTTGAATGACCCAATGATCAGTGATGAAGATCTCCCATACTGACATGAACCCTCTGAGTCGAGACTCCATAAGAACTGATCCTATAAGGTAGTCACTGACAACAAAGTCTGCACTCCACCCTAGAGGAGGATACTCACTGGTAAGTTCAGAATTGCCCTTGTGTTCCAGTGAATTGTGGTACCAAAGCCTGAGGTCTGGCTACTCAAACGGAAGATGCAGAAAACCATCCTGGGCAGCCAGGGTAGAAATGGAAGAGTGGAGATGGGCAACATCCACTTGAGATTCCATGGAATCAGGAATACCAGCAAAAATTGACTGCTTGAGAAAAGGAGCTTCTCTAAGATCTCTAAGGGCTGAAGCAGGAAGGCAAACTCCATCTAGCAAGGCATCTCTCTCCAAAAGATTCCAACAACAAAGAAATGAAGATACCAAGAAGAGAGCAGAAGCCAATAACCTGGCCAAAGCAGAAATCAATAATTAACTAAGATCCTCTGAAAATTGTACAGGAGATCTGTGATAAGTCTCAGACAACAGTTTCAAAGATGATAAAAATGTAAAAGTGTTGTAAGTGACAGACGAATTCTCAAAAACTGAGATTGATTAAGGTGAAATGTGACATTTTGTCTAGAGCCCCGAATACGAAGAAAAGGATCTAACCTCTGAGAGTCCAAATAAGGGTTCTCCAGTCAATTGGGGTGATGGAAAACCAAGGCATGCTGATCCAATAATGTGTGTATTCATATCTGAAAAATATTTCCAAAAAACTGTCTCAAAAATGCAGTAATAATGCTAAAGATAAACCTGCAGTAATCACATAAGACCACCATCAAGAAAAAGTGAATAAGAAGTAATACTGTGGATCTTATCTACAGAGTTGGTATAGAGTGCACAAGATTAGAATAGCTATGGGCAATGTAATGAGGTATAAAGACTGGAGGAAGTAAGGTATAATTCATACCAATGCTTAGATGGGCAGAGAAGAGAAACTTTCATCAGGATAAAGCTAAAGTGTGAGGGAAGATAAGTGTGTTTTGGAATGTGAGATGTATGTGTAAATGTATTGTCAAAAAGTATTTAAAGACAACCATCATATTCAAGCTGGATGGTTCAAAATATATTCATGCTCAGAATACGAAGCAAGAAGAGAATGCATTTTTATGCACAGACTGCATAAAATCTTAAAATTGAATTAGTTTTACTACAGTAAAAGATGCCGGTGATGAATGAAGTTCATTTGGCACTGGCTTTTTGTTTTATATTTTGGCTACTCAAATTTCAGAGTCAGTAGCCAAATGGGCTACTACCATGTATATGTGAGATAAGATCTAGTAAGTGCAATGAATTTGTATTGAAAAACTTAATTGACAAAATAGAACAACGAAAAAGCAACCATATTTTTTATGTCTACAGCTCTGAAATCATACCTGATATAAATAAATCTGGTCCAAGGAGTGATTATCACCAGAGATAACATTTACCAGAAAGATACATAATCCAAGACATGAGTAGAATATACATTGCATTGTTATCATCTGGGCAATAATCAGAAAAGGGTCCCATACTGAGTAGCGAAAATGGCCTGCCATTCCTGTGAATATATATATATATGAGAAAAACCAAAAAAACATTGAAATTATTTCTTATGCTAAAGACAATGGTATGAAAAATCTAACATATTTATTCCAATGATCCAGATTCCAACACATAATTTTTTAAAAATTCATTATTCAATACTGGTGTAATAATAGAAAAAATGTTAATAGTTGTATACTGTTTCATACATATATGTACATGTACATCAGGCCTCGACAAATCCTAGGTCCAGGTGGCCGTGGCGATTAAAAGTTTCATAGTATTTTCTCCCATTTTATTCTTGCATAGGGCTATGCTAAATAGAACTTGAATCTAGAATGGTTCTGGACTCTTGGAAGTCTGGAACTATTTTCGAATTTTTTTAGTCCTAAATTGAACTTTGTTTCTAGGATCTTGATCTTAATGGCAGATTCAGCACTTCTTCATGCTTTTCCAGGAATGAAGTGCTGCAGTTGCACAACACGTTACTAATTTTGTGCCATTTTGTTTTTCTTCTTTCTCTCAATTTAACCAAACAGTGCACATGTTTAGACTCAGATGGGACCAATGGCAGTTAGTTCAGGCAATACTATCAAGTGATTGGTGATATCACATGATCGTTAGCATGCATTCCTTCCAGTGAAAGTAAATAAATATACATTTCCTGGTACATACAGTTGTGAAGTTAGGTTAGGCACACCTGGCTCCTGAGTTTTTGGGCTGGCTCCTAGATCTGAAAATCTTTGTCAATGCCTGATATATATATCCTTTAAGGACAACAAGAGATTTGTTGGTTTATCTAGGTTATCCCATCCACTAAACTAAACTGCTACAAAATAAAACTGTCTTAACTGAAAAATTCCTACCCTGAAAAACATAATTGTGTTCTAGTTCTACTAATCTCATCAATATATCTGAATAAAAATGATACATCAACACTATCATTTTCCTTAACAGTCTTAAACACCTCAATCAGAACCCCTCTAACTCTTCTTTAAACAAAAAACACTTTCAAAGATCTTAAACTGTCCTCATATGAAAACTTTTTCATCTCAAGTACCATCCTAGTAGCCATCTTCTGAACCCTTTCCAACAATTCAATGCTCTTCCTAAAGTAAAAAAATGCATGACTGAACACAATATTTCAAATATGATCTAACAGTGATCAATACAGTGAAATTATAGCCTTTTTAGACTCCTATTCAATATTTGTGTAGATACAACCTAGTCTTATTTTTCCTGCCACTAGCAAGCATACACTGCTTGGATGGCTTAAGAGGCTGATCACCCAGAACACCAAGATCCTTTTCCTCCATAACACTGTTAAGGTTATCTCCATCAAAATTATAGTTAATTTAAATTATAATATCCAATTTGCATTTATTTATTTTATTATTCTTAAAAGCTGTCTGCCATTTATTTGCCAAACTCACCAAATAATCCAAATACTTTTATAATGCAGCAGAATCCTCATCACAGGCAGCAACACACACACACACACACACACACACAAAAAACAACTATCATCATCAGCAAATGTAAATACTTTATTGATTATTCCTTCATTTATGCTATTGATCTAAATCAAAAAGAGCAAAGGCCCGAACAATTAGCTTTGAGGTACTCCTCTAGCAACATTAATCCAGCTTTACTCTATTTCTAACAATACTCTGCTTTCTTCTGTTAGTCTCTTTTATATCCAATAATACAAACTATCCCCCACACTTACAGACAGAATTTTCTCTTAAAAAGCCTTTTTTATGGCACTTTACCAAATACTTTCTGAAAATTCAACTACACTAAATCCATACCTGTGCCCTCATCTACATAAGCATTAACCTGCTCAAAGGATATCAAATGCTCAGTTAGGCAAGATTTTCCCTTATTTAATCCATGTTGACTGTCCAACACAATTTCAAACTTTGAAGCATCTTTTATCAGGCTTTCTAAAACCTTTCCTACCACTGATTTAAGACTAACAAACACAATTATCAGGACAATTTGTTTCATGTCCCTTGAAAAGGAGTAAGATTAGCCAAGTTCCAATCTTTTGGCACATGTTCACTTTTCAAGGATTTCCAGAAAAAAATAGTAACAAGAGGGTTATATATCCAACCCTTAACCCCTTCAAAACTGTTGGGGAAATACTATGTGGCCTAAGAGCTTTATCATTCTTTTAACTTCCCAATGTTTTTCTTAACAAGCTCAAAACTAATGTGACTACCTTCTTCAATCTCATTTCGATCTAGCAACTGTTCATGAGGAGGAGTATTATTTAATCTTCATTCATGGAAAATTGTAATGAAACTTAGAATTAAATAACCCAGATAACTTATAATCACCAGATAGGAGCTTTCCTGTATCATCCCTCAAAGTCCTTACTCTCATCCTAAGATTTTGCTTACCCTCATTTAAAGAAGTCCTTACTATTAATGTTAACATTTTCCTCACCTGAAAATGTATTTCTGATACATATTTACCTCTCTGCAGGCAGTAGCTATTTCCCTCATGCCTGTCATTGAGACTTTTAACCATCATGTAGCAATAGCCCTCCACCTATAAGAAGACGATACATCCTCCATGCACAGTAGATCCCCAAAAGCACTTACACTTGAAATTAACTTCACTCTTAGATGAAATAAGCACTAGTAGTGGGAAGATAAGGTGGAAATGTGTGTAAAAAGTAAGTATCTATGGGAAATCTATTTTCAGGTAAGGAAAATATTAACTTACAAAACAATCCACTTACTCTATGCACACAGTAGCTAAAATCCAACATTTATTTCGTGGATGTGCTGGAGCAAATAGAATAATAAGACATTGCAGGCATCCAAAAAGAAAGTCATGCATGTTGAGCAACACCAGATTATTTGAACAGAGCATAAGAATTGACAAAAGTCAGAATGATCATTATAGGCAGAAAATGAACAAGAGAAAAGGACCTGTCTCCTTCTGAAGCCAACCATGTGTGGGTAAAGAAAGAGTGGTCAGGGAAAAAATGGGGAGTAAGATTTGTCAAACAGAGTATGGGAGGCATATAAGGAATAATGGAATGGCAATGACCTCAAGCCTGAAGGAGAAGGAAAGAGGCCTACAAGAAAAGATAAGAGAAGGAACAAGTGGTCAAGGGTTCAAATTGGATCTTGGTAAGAGTGTAAAGAACCAGAAGATGGTTCCAATAAGGAAAATGAACTGGAAGAGGAAACAGATGGAGGCAGAAGGTAGAAAACAGAGAAAGAAAAGATGGAACCACAGTGAAAAAGGCAAAAGGTGAATTTTGCTAGCACGATGTCCCACCATGATGAAGACTAACAATCTCTGATCAAATAGCCTAGTAAAGAAGTTTAACCCTTTCAAGACAGGCCATGTAATTTTGTTTGTAAAATCGCATTCAAAATTTTATTGAATTATTATTTAAAGAATTTATGAAAATAAGTTTGGTATCAAACTGTAGATTATAATTCAAATTTTAGAACTATACATAACTCAATTTACTTTAAAAGTAAATATTAAAAAAACAAATAAACATCAATTCTTGTGTGTCACTTGGTATGTTGAATGCAGCACTGGTTCAAATTAGATATTTGTGAAGTCAAAATACTAAGTCTATAGTTTCATACGAATTAGAAACTCAAATTACAGATATTGACAAGTGAGAATATAAGACAAGAAAGTCTTATCTTTTCTGTTTGCTAAGATATTACTCACGTAATAAATCAAACACAGTGGCACCCCACTCACCTCTTTCCATTTTTGGAAATACTCCCTTTTATACACTTACTTCTATATATGAAATGAATAACCAATCAGAAGCTCAGAATGTCCCCCTAGTGGTTTTCTCAGCCTTTCTAATGTACCTAACACTATTTCTTTCTTTTGAACCAATACTTCAATGACGTAGGTTGTGTCTTTAGTCTGCTCAAAATTTCATATATTTTATACCCAAATACAGCTTAGTTACTAAGTTTGATAAATTATAGTACAATTCTATGGTATTGATGTAGTAATTTACGATTTTTGTCACTCAAAAGTATATATAAACCCTAAAAAATATTTTGTTTCATATCCTCCATGTCTAAAATTTTAAAAGGCTTATCAACCTACATCAAGCAGCAACCAAGTACAAAAGTTGTAACTAGAAGAAATAATTGTTTTCTGTACGTCTTTATTTTCTGTTCTATGTTTTAGTAAAAATAACTAAGAACTTATTTCAAAATAGCAATAATCTATACACATATATAACGTATAATAACTGAAATGTGACTGTATTTTAGAAAATACTAGTCAACTAAAACACAGCCAAGATAGGTCACTTTGTAAAGACTAAAGATCACCTTTATGTCATTTGATACAGTAACATGAGTGCACGTGAGCCATGCTCCTGGGTAGTATAACTGAATTATTTTCCCTAATTTACCCCACAGACTATCCTATCTACATGACATACTAAATAATTGCCTATAACTATAAGCTCATTATGTTTATCACTCCCATCCCTACCTGTCCCTTTTGCTTTGCTTCTCTCCAGTCATTCCTCATCTGCACAAAATCTTCTCATTACAATTAAATCCAATATTTCTAGTCCTAGTAATGTTTCTAACATCCTAAAAGCTATTATTACCTACTGTATTACCTTTGCATGTAAAAAAAGTAATTTTTTTGGAATCTTGCTGCTATTTCCTAGTTATCCTTCTCTTTATCTAATGCCTCTACTCTACTTAGGATAGCCTCTAACTTCACATCCAACCAGTAAATTCTACAAACAAATTTTGCATTTCACTACTAACTTCAATAAATGTGTATACCAGTTCCAAGTTAATTAATACAATCCATTTCCAAAAGGCTTTCAACAAAGTGCCTCACAAAATACAAATAAAGAAAATTATTTGTGTGGGTCAGGGGATAAGATGGATCAATTGATTAATGTTCAATTAGAGGAGAGGAAGCAAAGGGTTGATATTAATTTAGTACATCACTTTAGACTGGAACTGTAAGAATGGTACTTTTTGATATGCATGTCAACAATATTGATTAGGGAATGGTAAAAAAAACTAATCAACTTTGCTGATAACATTAAAGATCACACTTTAGTTAGCTGCAAAAAGAATGTTGTTATTTTACAAAGGGATTTGGATCATTTGCATATAAATGGCAGATTTAATTTAGTTATACTAAGTCAAGATAATATATGTAGGCTACCTTAATATGAACTATAATTATCACCTTGGTGAAAATTAGAAATCAATTCAATAGTGTTCTAAAAGAAAAGTATGTTGATATTTTGGTCGAACAGACTCTCGTGCTTTCCAGGAAGTGTGTTGTTGCCATTGGAAAAACAAATAAGATTATTTATTGTATCTACAGGAGTACTAAATATGAGTTAAAAGAGATTATTGTTTCTTTGTACAACTCTCTGGTTAGGCCTCATTTAGAGTATTATGTTCAGTCTTGCACTCCTTACTTTAAGACTGACACCGAGTTGTTGGAAAGGATTCAAATTATGGCTATTAGGATGGAAGGGCAGCCGTAGGGGAACAGGTTAAGATCCTGTGCTGAGTATGCCTGCCCAGTTTAGAACAATTCAACTCATGACAAAATTCTTGACTCCAAGTTCTACGATAGTTACTGAATCATCAGAGGCTGCCCAAAATCAACCAAAAAAAACAGCCCGTATGTGGTGGCTGAAGTTGCCCCACCAGACATCAGGAGAGCAGTTGCCAGTAGAACATAGCAAACTTGGCAGACATAAGACAGTATACATCTTCTATATGGCCATGTGGAAGTAAAGAAGCATCTGCGATCATGAAATAGATTCTGCAGTTCAACTGAACCACTGGACACTGGCATACACCAGCTGAGCATCTACCCAGAGAAGAGAAAATTGGTTGGAGCATATGGAAAGCCCTCAATTGTCAGGTCAGCAAGTCTAGGGCAAACACGATAAAAATGATGTATTCCAACAGACCTGTTGCTATGAATGTGGTGAGAGGCAGATGGTGCAACATCTACTCATCTTCCCACAACTTCAGGTCTCTTTCACAGCAAAAGACCTTACTGTAGCTAATGAACATGCAATCAGATGTGTGTAGCACTGGATGGAAACTATATAGGGCTAGGCAGACACAACAACAAGAAGTAGAGGCTAAGGTCATTAAATTCGTTTTTTTAGAAAAAAAAGTTAAGAGGGAATCTGACTAATGTCCAAGATTATAAAGGGAATAAGTAAGATGATACATAATTTATTTGTAGGTTTAACAGTAATAACAGTAGAAATAAGGGACACAGATATAAGATTTTAAAAGTTAGTAAGCTTCAGACATGGTAGATATAACAGGACTGGGAGAGTTTAAGAGGGCTTGATGACTACTTGGGCTTGATATATATATGCAGACATGTATTTGAAAAAAATGAATAGAAGAGCCATGATGGGTCAAAGAGTCCTTTGTTGTCCCTCAAATATTATGTTACTACAACAGGAAACCTACACACATAATATTGAAACTGCAAGGAATCATGAACTGAATATCCTGGTTCTTAACTTTGTTAAATGACTTTGCAAAGCCTCTTTTATCGGACTTCAAAACCTTTTCCCACCACTGGTGTAACAATAATAAGCCTATAATTACTGGGGCAAATATGGTCATCTCCATAAAATAACACTATCTTAAGGTGACCCTACCAAAATATACATCCGTCTCTTAGTCATACCATTCTCACCACTAATTATGAAAAAAGATGATGCATCAAAACTATCAGTTCCCTTAACAATCTTAAACACCTCATATTTCAAATTATGATATTCCATATGCATTAGCTTGCATTTATTATAAAGTCATCTGACATTTATTCACCCAACTCACCAAATAATCCAAATCATTTTGTAAAGTAGCAGCATTCTCCTCGAAGCCAGTAATATCCTAAACCTTAATATCATCACTCTGTCAATAACAACCCTCTGCTTTTTTTCATAGTCAGTTTTCTGTCCATTGATTCAACGTATCCCACACACACCTATAAAGATATTTTTAGCAAGCCTTTTATGTGGCACCTTGTCATATGCTTTCTGAAAATCTAAATACACCAATTCACACCTATGCCTCATCATAAGCAGTAACCCATTCAAAGGATGTCAAAAAGATTAGTAAGTCAAGATTTTCCCCATAGTGAAACTATGCTAACTATTTAACAAAATTAGTAAGTCAAGATTTTCCTCATAGTGAAACCATGCTGACCATTTAACAAAATTAAAAATTTTGTTAGATGGCTTTGTTAAGCATATTCTATCATATGTTCATAAAACTTTGCACACTACTGATGTAAGATTAATAGGCCTATAATTTCTGGGACTTCTTTAGAAAACAGGAATTAAAATTAACCAATTACCAATTATCTGGCACCTGCCCTCTATTCAAGGAGTGAGGGAAAGTTGGCTCATTGAATCACAAAAGGTTGGATGGAAGGAAGCAATGGTTTATGTAACAGAGTTCAGTCAAACTGGTTTAATGTCAAAACTGGGGTACCATAGGGATAACTGTTTGAACCTTTTCTCTGAGTTACATCAAATAACAAAGATGAAGAAATGGTCAATGACTTAAAGTTTGCCAAAGTTAAAAATCTCGGGTGTTGCTGCCTGTAGGAAAGATGCTGCTAATTTACAGGATTTAGATCATTTGGACAAACAACTGGCAGATGATTATTATAATAAATGCAAAGTAATACATGTCAGTTATCATAATTCAAATTGTAAGTATAATTTTGATCGAAATAACCTAATCAATGTTGTTAATTCATGGGCCAGAGCAGGTAATGGTATCACCCAAGGTAGCAAAATTTCAAGAGCACCAAATTATTTGTATGGTTAATATGCATACATTGATATAACCACACCAAAGAAATAGCTTTGTAGTTTAAATCTGGTTCTTACTTTTTCATTATAGGACATGCCAGTATTAGTTTTTGAGGACATAGTTATATTATGTTATATTTAGTTATACTATTTTTGAGGGAAAAAAAACAACATTATTTTCATTGATTCCCCTACTAAGCTCTTGTGAGATACCAGCCTCCTCTACTGCTGTGTCAAGCTTATTTGATTAAGTCAACCATCTTGTTAGAAAAAAAAACATTTGTTTACTTGAGCTTTGCTTGTCATAATCTTAAACTTGTATTCTTTTATCCTATTGTTTTGCAGAATACAGCAAAAGAAATCAGATCGTTATCCTGTCAATCCCCAGGATAATATCGTAAACATCAAAATGATCACCTCTTACTGTTTGTCAAGGTCAGAGTAGTCCAGGAAAGTCCTCCACTAACAGTGCTGGCACAATAACAGTAATAGTGACAACAGATGTTGATCAAATAAGTTCACGTATTCCATATTTTGTTAGATGGTGTTTTCAGTTAGAACTTTTGAACCAATACAGAAAGAGACATTGCTGGCTTGATCTTTGTAATTAATAATTCATTCTCTGTTCTTTCCTATCTCATTAGTCATTTTTTTATTTCACTTTTGATTTTGTTAATTATGTTATTACAGTCTTTTCACACTTCTTTAATCTTATTGTTGTAATCTTCCTTTACACCTCTAACAGTTTCATAAATTTTGTCTTTAATTATATTTACTTTTGATTTTAATTCTTCTTTAAATAGTAGGCCTCATTCTTTTAACTCTACCCTTAAATTACTGTCTCTCTTTCTTTTAATTTTTTCTTTTCTCTAAATATTGTCTTAATAATTTCATCATCTCAAGTACATGGTTCTGGCAGCTGTCAACTTATAAAAAGAAAAGGGTAGCTGCAAGTAAAAAACCAGGTTGACTTACAAAGAGTTTAAGAAATAAAATTAAAGAAAAGCATCACAAATTTAAGAAATTTAGATCGACTGGTATTACAGGAGATTTAGAAGATTATAGAAGATCAAGAATGTTGGTGAAACAGGAAATTATGACATCAAAAAGGATGTATGAGAAAAGGTTGGCTGAAAATACAAAAATTAACAGTAAGGATTTCTTTAAATACATCAAGGGTAAACAAAATGTTAGGATGGGGTTAGGACCCTTGAGGGATGATAAAAGAAGACTAGTATCTGATGGTTATGAGATGGCTGGGTTATTAAATTTTGATTTTTCTTCGGTTTTTACTAATGAAGATTTAAGCAGTACTCCACATTTTGAACAATTGATAAATGGAAACGAGATCAAACAAGATTAATTCTGAGCTGGTTAAATAAAAAATTTTAAGTTTAAAAAACAATAAGGCTCCTCAACCAGATAGTTTCCCCAAGGGTTTTGAAGAAGGTTAAGGATTGGGTATGCGAGCCACTTATTACCATTTTTTGTCAGTCCTTGAATAGTGGGCAGGTACCAGAGGATTGGAAGTTAGCTAATGTAACTTCTCTTTTCAAGGGAGGTGATAAAAATTGTCCCAGTAATTATAGACCCATTAGTCTTACATCAGTTGTGGGAAAGATTTTGGTAAGGTCTGACGAAAGATGTCTTGCAAAGCCATTTAACAAAGTTTAGAATTTTATTGGATTGTCAACATGATTTCACTAAGGTAAAAATCTTGTCTTACAAATCTTTTGACATTCTTTGAAAAGGTTACTGCTTATGTAGATGAGGGTAAGAGTGTAGATTTGGTGTATCTGGATTTTCAGAAAGCATCTGATAAGGTGCCATACATAAAGGCTTGTAAAAAATTATATCTATGGGTGTGGGGGATAAGTTATAAAATTGGATAGAATAGTAGCTGGATGGAAGAAAGCAGAGGGTTGTTATAAATGAAGTTCAGGGCTCAGTCTTAGGACCTTTGCTCGTTTTGATATACATCAATTACATAAATGAAGGAATAGTCAATAAATTACTTAAATTTGCTGATGATATTAAGGTCTTGGGTGTTACTAGCTGTGAAGAAGATGCTACTGCTTTACAAAAGGATTTAAATCATTAAGTGAGTTAGGCAAATATATGTCAAATGGGTTTTATTATAATAAATGCAAGGCAATGCATGTAAGTTATCATAATTTGAATTATAGGTATAATTTGGATGGCAATAACCTTAACACTGTGATAAAAGAAAGGGATCTTGGTGTTCTGGTTGATCAGTCTTTAAAGTCATCCAAGCAGTGTACTGTTGCTAGTGGTAGGGCAAATAGGATTTTAGGTTGTATGTACAGAAATATTGAATACAAGTCTAAAGAAATTATAATTTCATTGTATAGTTTGCTGGTTAAGCCACACTTGGAGTATTGTGTTCAGTCTTGGGTTCCTTTCCTTAGGAAGGACATTAAACTGTTGGAAAGGGTTCAGAGGAGGGTTACTAGAATGGTGCCTGAGAGGATGGGGTTGTCATACGAGGAGAGGTTGAAATCTCTCAAGTTGTTTACTCTTGAAAAAAATGTTTAAGATTGTAAAGTAATTGATAGTGTTAATGAATCATGTTTTTGTACTCAATGGTGATAATAATAGGACTAGGGGAGACAAATATAAACTTTGGCAAGGTATGAGTCATCTTCAACTAAGACTGTTTTATTTTTCTAACAGGGTGGTTGGCCTTTGGAGTGGATTGCCTTCAGATGTGGATGCTGTAAATGTAAGTGAGTTTAAAGAAAGTTTGATAACTATATGACTGATAAGGGCTGGTTTTAAAATTTTTATTTATTTAATGATTTTAGTTTAGTTTAGACGATGGGACAGCCGAGATAGTCCAACTGGTCCCTTGTTGTGTTTTCACTCACACCTTTCACAAGCATCATGTTAGAAGTGAATATTCCACATCCGGATCTCGACAACTTGTTGGACATGTCGTGTTTTCACTCACACCTTTCACAGGCATCATGTTAGAAGTGAATATTTCACATCCTGATCTCGACAACTTGTTGGACATGTCGTGTTTTCACTCACACCTTTCACAAGCATCATGTTAGAAGTGAATATTCCACATCCGGATCTCGACAACATGTAGGACATGTCGTGTTTTCACTCACACCTTTCACAAGCATCATGTTAGAAGTGAATATTCCACATCCTGATCTCGACAACATGTAGGACATGTCGTGTTTTCACTCACACCTTTCACAAGCATCATGTTAGAAGTGAATATTCCACATCCTGATCTCGACAACTTGTTGGACATGTCATGTTTTCCCTCACACCTTTCACAAGCATCATGTTAGAAGTGAATATTCCACATCCGGATCTCGACAACTTGTAGGACATGTCGTGTTTTCACTCACACCTTTCACAAGCATCTAAAAACTTATAAATTGCACAATAACTGGCTATATATCAATAAACACGTGTGTTACCTTGATTGGTAGTCCGATAAACTTGGCTTCAAGTTGAAAATTTGTCTGAGTCGTGACGTCATGCCTACTGGCTGGAATATCCACTTGTTTGTCTTGTACGATCGTGATGTGTTACAGGTTTTTTTAAAGAGAATATTCAATTGTTTGTCTTGTACGATCGTGATGTGTTACAGGTTTTTTAAAGGGAATATTCACTTGTTTGTCTGGCAGGATGGTGATGTGTTACAGGTTTTTTAAAGGGAATATTCACTTGTTTGTCTGGCAGGATGGTGATGTGTTACAGGTGAGAATATTGTGATAAGCTTATGTGTAAAAATTTTCTATATCATTTTATCATAAACAAAAAAGGAATTATTTTACTAGAATATTGAACGGTGAAGGGAAACATTCGATAATAATGTCAATAAAAACTTACAAGTATCGTTCTTGAATATTTTTCTTGAACAGTTATTTTATTTCAGCAACGTAAGAACGAAGATTGATTCGCGGATATTTCCGTAGATCACAACTGTTAAGGGGTGTCAGACACTTTATAAATAGTCTGAAAACAACATCATAATATTCAACTCGCCAGGTGGCAGTTCTGCTGAGAATGTTGCGAATCGAAGCTGTTAATATGATATCAAAATGAGTGTTATTTTATATAGTGTTCGTGATCCGAGTGAAATATTTCATTAATTAAAAAAAAAGATAACAGACTTATGTTAATGAGAATTTAAAAAGAGAGACCTTTCTTTATTAATATTTTGGTGGTTGACAGTAATATTTAAGAAGTGTGAATTTTTTCTTATGTATTTTGATGGTTTCCCTAGGACGAAAGTAAAATTTGAGAAGAGAGTTATTTTTTATAAGAAGTTTGGTGGTTAACCTTAGGAATAGGGACCGTTCTCAATATATATTTTTGGGGTTAACTTTGGAAATAGGAATTTTTTTTATAAATATTTTGCTGGTTAACCTTAGAGATAAGGAACTTTCTTTATATGTAATTTGCTGGTTAACCTAAGACGACAGCTTTGGTTTATGTCGCTTAGCATTAAGTGATGACGTCACATTTACTCCTGAAACGTACTGCTCTGGGTAACCCACCCCCCCCCGTAAAAGCTGACTATATTTTGAAAAGGCAGCAACTAAATTTGTTCGTAATTGCTTCCTGTTTAGTGATCAGCCATCCATAAAAGTATGATAGTTGTCAACTTTGTATGCACCTACTAGCGTTAGTCACGTGCAGTGAAGAAACAAAAAGTTTGTGTTCAAAAGTTAGAGAAACAATCAGCTGATTCATATCCACAATTTACTTCCGTCAACAAGAAATTATTTAAGAAAAACAAACATTAAATGTGTAACACGTGCAACACACTACTCACATGTCCCTAAAAGACTTAAAAGAATTCACATTATATTCGTTAAATCCTGAAAGAAATGGGACTTTTGTTTGTGAACTGCCTATATTATCCATAACTCTTAACAACAACGAAATCTATACGTTAATAATTGTAATTAATAAGTCCACAGGACAGGTATGTTTTAATATATAATCCAGTGCATATTTTTTTTTTATTTTCAACATTTAATGATATACCACACTTTTGTGAAGGAAAACCTTACATTAAATTCAAATATCTAACAAAAATATTCAAAATACAGAAAATTTTCAAATCCAATATTTACAATAAATTATTTGCGGTAGTAAATATCGCAAAAAACAATTAAAAACAATGTTGGGATATCGCATACATATCTATATTTATTCGACTTACAAGAAGACACTACATATATTATCCTTACAGAAAGATACTTGATATACTATCCTTACATAAAGACACTTGATATACTATCGTTACAGAAAGACACTTGATATACTATCCTTACAGAAAAACACTTGATATATTATCCTTACAGAAAGACACTTGATATATTATCCTTACAGAAAGACACTTGATATATTATCCTTTCAGTAAGATACTTGATATATTATCCTTACAGACAGACACTTGATATACTATCCTTACAGAAAGACACTTGATATACTATCGTTACAGAAAGACACTTGATATACTATCCTTACAGAAAAACACTTGATATATTATCCTTACAGAAAGACACTTGATATATTATCCTTACAGAAAGACACTTGATATACTATCCTTACAGAAAGACACTTGATATACTATCCTTACAGAAAGACACTTGACATATTATCCTTACAGAAAGACACTTGATATATTATCCTTACAGTAAGATACTTGATATATTATCCTTACAGAAAGACACTTGATATACTATCCTTACAGAAAGACACTTGATATATTATCCTTACAGAAAGACACTTAATATATTATCCTTACAGAAAGACACTTGATATATTATCCTTACAGAAAGACACTTGATATATTATCTTTACAGAAAGACACTTAATATACTATCATTATAGAAAGACACCTGATATATTATCCTTACAGAAAGACACTTGATATACTATCCTTACAGAAAGACACTTGATATATTATCCTTAGAGTAAGACACTTGATATAGCATCCTTACAGTAAGACACTTGATATAGTATCCTTACAGTAAGACACTTGATATAGTATCCTTACAGTAAGACACTTGATATAGTATCCTTACAGTAAGACACTTGATATACTACCCTTGTCGTAGGTCCCCAATACTTAAAACACACCAATTAATTGGAGTGCGTGGTGTTCATAAATCAGTCATATCATGTACAATATATATATATATATATATATATA